CAATCCAATATTTATTCAATGTCAAAACTATAATATAACCCCTTTGGCCCCTTTCGTAGTTGTTAAAATAGCATTCAGAGTATGGAATATCAATCCAAACTCAATACCATTGAATTCATTAAATATCCACGCATTACGGATACAATGGTTTCTAGTATTGCAACTCAAGAGTACGAATTATAATTCCAATGTCGACCGATCGGAAGTGGTAGTGGTGATACCTTTGTTCAAGTGATTCTATTGGTCAAAGTCAAAGTTCAAAGTCAAAGCATTTATTTCAATTAAACCATAGTTTGGTACTTTTGAAACGTCAACAAATACAAAATAAATAATAGTCTGTCAGTCAGTCCGTCAGTGAAATTAGGTGAAGCTAGGTGCTCATTCCAAAACGTAGATTCGAATGGAGAAGAACGAGCAAGAAACTCCATTCGTTACTCTTTTAAAAAAGTATGGCTGCAAAAAACTTGTGAACTTAGAAATCATTGGCTTTTGTTTCTAAATACCGAGTAAATCTCTCACAAGTCCGAAACAAGGAAAAATAAGAAAGAAAGAAAAATAATAAAAGTAGCGATTATTTATTAAAACCAATTACCCATAAGCGATGGTTTCGCCAATTTTTGTCGGTGAGTTTTCCTCTATAACGTTCAAACATTTGCCGTGGAAGTAGAGGGCCTAAACCAACATTAAGTAAGGTTACTTGTAATTAATTCGGGTTATGTTTGTTATGTAATTACTTATTTACATAAATAAACATACAGGTGAGTTTAGTTATGATGATATTTTAAGGTCATGTGAAATAATAATGGGTAGATATTTAATGGGGTAGACGACTAATTTTTATTTTAATGTCCGTCTGGTAGATTATTTAAAAACATTAGACACGTATTTTTTATTTTCTTACGGAAACGAATAGTTTCGAAGATATATTGATTTGAAATGTCGCGTGACGTCACTTCTCAGTACATTTTATACTAAGGAATGACGTTTTAACCCCCACTCCTAAACTTTGATTCGTTTTATCTAAGTATTGTTTTATTATACGACAAAATAAAAAAATACGTGTGTAATATTTTTTAATTACCTAACTTACGGACTAATTATATTTTTAATTGTCATACCCTGTCATCATCCCCATTCTGTTAGGTACTTACTAGCGTTTTGCATTTGTTTTATGAATTTATTAATTACCTATGATTTTGGTGTTTATCATTCAGCTTAGACTTTGGTTTATTACAGATTTTGTTATGGGATAAACGAGTAGAAGAATTACCTAATGGTAAGCAATCGGCGTCGCCCAGGGACACCTGGAACACTAAAGGCGTTACAAGTGCGTTACCGGCTTTTTGGGGTATTAGGAATTTGAGGATTGTTGAGGATTCAGGGATTTGGGAGATTTGGGGGGCGGCAAATGGGTCTATGGTAACCTCAATTATACGACGAAATACACGCAAGTGTTGTTTCACGTCGGTTTTCTGAGGCCGTAGTATTCCTCCGGTCGAGCCGGCCCATTCGTGACGAAGCATGGCTGACCCACACTTACCTAAGTTTTTTTGTGGGTTTGGAAGATTTTTGAGAATTTGTAGGAATACACTTATAATTACGTAAGTAGTAAATTATGTATGTAAGCAAAACACGTGTACGAAACATGTGTACCTACTAATTTAAGTGGAGTGCCTGATAATATTTTACGAGCAATTGCACGTTTGACAACATGTTGCCTCATTTAATGATAAGCAATGAATGTAACACCAATAAAATATTAAAATGGAATAACGTATCCGTTTCGGGCATTCATATTACAAAAATGTAATTATTTATTTTATCGTTGTAATTAAAGATTTTACAATTAAAAGTGAATTTGTCTTACCTACTTCTTCTAATTTCCCGCTAAATCACACGTCAAATCTCCTAAACATCTTAAATCACAGGCAAGAACAATAACACAGACAGCCTTATTTTTTTTTAAATTACCAAAAAGGCGCAACACGTTCGATAAAGCATCAAAAGAAGCTTCATAAACGATCTCGTTGAAGGGAAAGCAAAGGACACAACAAAATAGATCTCAGTTACAAAGATCGACACAAGTCGTCAGAGGGAGACACTTTAGCAGGAAGAAGGTCTTCAGTGGAGTGGATATCAGGAGGCTGTAAGTGTACTTCCGGTGAGGGCTCGCGTCAAAGCGCCCGCCGGATGTGTCAATTTGAAGCCGGCGCCATCTTGAAATCTCGTTGACTTCGGGATGTGTGGGATTTGAAATCTACTTTTATGAGACTTGACCTAAATGCTAAAGTTCTGAGGAAAAATTGTATTGTCATGCGACTAATAAAAATTAACCTGGTTTTTTGGGTAGAAGTCATCATCCTGTGTATGTCAAGAGTATGACATTCTCACTCGATCCATCCAAGGCGGGAGAAGTCATTCGATGATTTTACCACCTCAAAGAAAAATCCTACACTACTGGGATTTTATCTTGTGACAACTGACACAGGTGCGTTTACAAATAGGTATACGATTTCCGATGAACATCATATCCACGTCCAGAAAAACAATTAGTTAGTTACATTTTATATTTAAAAATAGTACATGCCAACATTGAATCCGTAACACGTTCAATCAACCAGTTACCCAGCATAATCAAAGTCAATTAATTCCCATAATAATATGTATTACAGAAATCCTCAATAACTAATATTTATTTTTCGAATCGAACCCTCGATGTGGCGTCATAATAATTTTAAAACAAACCAACACATCAACACATCAACAGCCTATAAATGCCCACTGCTGAGCAAAGCCTCTTCTCACACGGAGAAGGTTTGAGCATTAATCACCACGCTTGCTCATTGCGGGTTGGCGATTTGAAACTTATAATTAGAAATTATAAGACCAGGTTTCCTCACGATGTTTTTCCTTCACCGTTTGTCAGTGGTGTCTAAATAATCTTAGAAAGTACGTCATAAAACTCGGAAAAAGTTACATTGGTACTTGCCGTTGGTAGGTTTCGAACCCGCACCCTCATGCATGAGAAGTGGGCGTCTTAAACCTCCGGGCCACCAAGACATAAAAAAACAAACAATAACCTAAAAAAACTAGTAAGATATAACATTACCTAGTCAGTCTAGCACATTTATGTCATATTTTACTGGAATGAAATATGGTCTGTGAGTCGTGACCCGCAAGGAATTCATAGTAGCTCCTATTGGCTGGCCAATTTGAAAATATATCTAGTACGTGCCAATTCTAAGATATGGGTGGAAAGTATCAGATTTAGACTAGTTTTTATGTTATTCCTTTGGTGTTGGACTTGTATTTGAATGTTATTCTAATGTAAGGCATAACATATAAGACATCACGCCTTTTATCCCCGAAGGGGTTGGCAGAGGTACACATTACGGTACCTACTTAATGCCACTGTACAATGTAGCACCCGCTTTTCACTATTTATGTTATGAGTCCCATGTAATAGGGGGCGAGCCTATTGCTTGGACATATTTCCAGACCCCTTGCTACTACTTTCGATTTAAAAAAACCCAGTAATACTTTGCCTGACCCGGAAATCGAACCCGAGACCCCTTGCCGGGCAGTCGCATTTGGGACCACTCGGCCAATGAGGTAGTCTCACTTCTTTTCTCTGTGGATAAAAGGCGTGATGATATGTTATGTTAATTTAGGAAATATAACGTTTTGCGGTGAATCCGCAAGGGCGTCACGGGTTACGGCCACAGGCAGAAGAGGAACACCGCAGTGGTTTTAGCCGGTAAGAGTCCGGCACACCCCCCGTCGTGCCCACGGCGTGGGAAGTCCATGAGGATTTCCAACGCGTTATATAAAAAAAAGAAAATAAAAGGAGATATAATGTATGGTTATATCTCCTAAATTAACATAACTTTCCATGTACATATTTAGGAGACATGGAGATAAGGTATTTTTTAATATAATATCGGTCATAGTGTTACTTAATTGGGACTATTTTGACCTGTATTACAATAATAGATAAGCGGTCGCGTCAGTACGTAGGTTCGTTGTGTTATCAATACCCTGATTGTAGTATTTTAAACACTAAATTTTAAACAATATTTAGACATAACAAGATAACATGAAATTATCAAGAAAGTTCCCGTAGTGATTATGTAACCTAATCACGCCTTTAGCACGAATAGAGCAGTGGATTTCAGAGACAATTACTTTTAACAGACTATATGTATGACAGAATCGTATAGCATCGTACCAATACATGTCATGCTAAATTTAAAAAAAAACATATGGTATAAGTAATACCATACCACCATCACCAGACTGGTTCTATCCAGTACTGGACAAAAGATACATATCAGTCTCCACAATACCATGGCACTTGGATCTTTAACTTCTCATACGCCACCTCAGCCCCTCCCTCTATAAGAGCAAATGTTTTGTTACTCGTGAACTTGAAACCTCTTGGACACCAGTGATGATGCTCTCGAAAATGTAGTTACAGTGATAACATACCTACGCATTATTATTATTAACGGGGAATGCTCTGAGGAATTGTTTGACCTGATACCTGCCGCATCTTTTCGCTATCGACCTTCACGACAACATATGTATCCCCATCATATAGATGGTTGGCAGGCCACAACTGTGCGGTTCTCACGTAGCTTCCTGCCTCGCACAGCAAAACTGTGGAATAATTTGTCGTCGGCGGTATTTCCGAACCGATATGATCTTCAAACCTTCAAGAAAAGAGCGTATTCCTTTTTAAAAGGCTGACAACGCACCTGTGATTCCTCTGGTGTTGCTGCTGGTGTCCATAGGCGGCGCTGATCGCTTACCATTAGGTGATCCGTCTGCTCGATTGCCTCCTATTCCATAAAAAAACTGTTTCAATGGCCGAATATGAGACACAATAGAAGATAAATTGTGTTTCGCGGGCATCCACGTTTAGAGATACAACGGGTTAAAGAAGCTTGATGAAGCTACAACATACATAAAAAAATCGTTGGAAAATCAAACAACAAAAATGAGAATATGGCAGCGATTTTATTTTGCTCGTTTTTGGGTGTTACCATGCTTGCGGTTCGCCTGATGGAAAGCAGTTACCGTAGCTTGGACGTGTGCAGCACCAGAGGGCATAATGCGAAGCATTTTTTTACGTTAACATGATCGAAACGTTACCACGTTTAGCCTTCTGATTCGTCGATTAATTGGAACAGGCCAATCAGAATGCCGAACGTTATAAACATGTCCATTGCGTTAACGTAAGAAAAACTCGGACTAAGCCCCCACAGGTGTCGCTAGCGTATTGTGTTTGTTTTTTAATTTAAGCGTAAATGTAGACGTCAAAGTGAATCTTCTCTCCACGGTCACTCTTCATGCGAAGGTTCACGAAGTTGAAGCCAAGTCCGCCCTGTGTCACGTTGGCCGATGCACCAGTGTGAGTCATGTCGAAGGCCAGGATGCCCTGGAAATTTAAATAATATTTACTTAAAATAAGTACGTTTATATTGTTTAATGGGACTAGCCCGCCACAACCTCCCAAAACCGCTGCAACTCCTGTAAGCCAGGATCTACAGTAGATACAACCATGAAAACACCGGAACACTGAAGTCCGGTGCGTCCCAGGGACATGAGTAACTGCCTTGGTTTCAGCAACGAAGAAGAAAAAAAAAACTAGTCTATTGGAGTTTGTTTTGATTCATTTTTGTTCTTTTCTCTGATGTCGCTTACTTTCAACTTATTTTGAATGGACACCCGACCTAAGTAGCAGTCTACAGGCCAAGTAGGTACGGGATATTATTAACTTTACTGTCGTTTTTGAGGAGGAGAGCACCCCGAAAATGACGGTGCAATCAAGCAGCAACATGGGCATTTAGAACTTCAGATATAGACGAAAAAGGCATTGTTTTTACTTAGTGCGCATCAATGTGTAAAATACGTAATATTATAATTATGTTAAGTTATGTAGGTAAATAATAATATTAATGTATTCTTTAAGGTTTTAACTGCCTATAAAAAAACTATTGAAGGTAAATCCTCCGTTAAAGTCGGTCACCGGTGACCCCTTTGGCCTTAATGTGTTAAACTCAAAATCTATATAAACATAATTAATTTGTTATTTTTTTCTATTTATACGATAAGCCGGTAAACGACCAGACAGATCACCTGATGGTAAGCAATCGGCGTCGCCCATGAACACCTGGGACACCAGAGGCGTTACAAGTGCGTTTTGGCCTTTTGGGGTTAAGAATTTGAGGATTGTTGGGGATTTTAGGATTGGGGAAGGGGGGCGAGGTAACCGGGCCTCTGGTAACCTCACTCACACGACGAAACACAACACAAGCGTTGTTTCACGTCGGTTATCTGTGGTATCACTCCGGTGGAGCCGGCCCATTCGTGCCGAAGCTTAACATAGCATTCGTTAGTCTCGCTAAAACTAGAGAATGGCTGAACCGATTCGGTTAAATTTGGTCTTGATATATGTTCGTACGGCGGTACGAAGTTTGCTGAGTCCGCTAGTATGTAAATAAAAATTAATGACTGTGTACACAGCTCGGTTTTTTAATTGGACAAGCCTTGCTACTATTACCGACGTATTAATTTTATGTAACTTTCAACGATTTTTTTTTTTAAGGGGGGAAAATCGTCGAATGACTGCCCCCGCCTGGGTGAGGCGGGAGGGAGTGTCAGACTCTTACTGACTAAAAACCACTCCGTTCCTTCTCCTGCACGTCGAGCCGGAGCCCCGGTTACCCGTTAGGTTCTCCGCGACAACTTTCAACGATAATAAGTTTTAATCTCGTGTCAAAGTCGATAACCCGTGTAATGGCCTTGACAATAATTTTACCTACATTAGTATCATAGTATAAACATTGCATCACGTTTGTAATAACTGCAATAGGTAGGCAGGGGAGTAGAATTATTTTTTTAAGGGGAGAAAATCATCTAATTACTGCTCCCGCCTATGTGAGGCGAGAGGGAGTGTCAGTCTCTTACTGACTAAAAGCCACCCCGTTCCTTCTCCTGCACATCGAACCGGAGCCCCGGTAACCCGTTAAGTTCTCCGCGACTAGGTTCCGAAAGTACTGAATCGATTTGATGAAATATTTTCAACATTAGTTTAATTTTGCGATATCAGCATAATATACTACTTTTATCCTGGTATTCGGATATTCCTATAAGATATTCATAAAAATTTTGAAAATTCTAATTTTGGTAGCTAGTACTTTATTTTCAACTAGCTTTTGCGAGCAGCTTCACTCGCATTCTCATAGTAAACGTAGCTTATGAGTTATTGCAGACCATAATCTACCCGTGTTACAAATTTCATCGTAATCCCTTCAGCCGTTTCGACGTGAAAGAGTAACAAACAAACAAACAAACAAACATAATATACATACAATCTCTCGCATTTACAATACACTAGTAGGATTTGTGTTTTTCCTGCTTTGTAGGTACCTAATATGCATTGATTTCAATGTTATTATTGTTATGAACCCCATAAAATACCGATTGATTATTGAGTCATTAGTCATTATACTATTTAAAAAACTGTGTCTATTTTCCTCAAGGTAAGTTGAAAACAATACCTTATTCCGTTTAGTTACGGCAAATTGTACTTCCCCAGCTAGTCATGCCGTCTCAGGTCATCGTTTGGAGGATTTTGGGGATATTGAACTGTTTTGTTTTTATGTTAAAGTAGCAAGTCTATTGGGATGTCGCGGAGAACCTAACGGGTTACCGGGGCTCCGGCTCGAAGCGCAGGAGAAGGATCAGGACAGTTTTTAGTCAGTAAGAGTCTGACACTCCCTCCCGCCTCACACAGGCGTGAGCAGTCATTCGATGATTTTCTCACCTTGAAAAAAGTCTATTGTGATTAAATAAGTATTAATGTTTATTTATGATGATGCATTTGACATTGGTTATCGTATACGTGCTACGAAACTATGCAAAATATTGGAACTCGAGATTTTTGTGATTAGTCATCAGTTTATTTAAATACATTCATAGCTAAAGCACTCAGTCCATTTTCTCGTAAACAAATAAGTAATGAGTAATCATAATAGATAACATCATGCCAGGTGTACAGTCTTGGACTACATTTTTAATGATAAAAAAAAACAACTGCAAAACCGTAATAATGCACCCACTAGCCGTTGAATATGGTTCCTGTTTTATCCCATGGGAGGATTTAATACTACAGGTCAGGCCATACCCGGCCTGTATACCAAATTTTATCAAAATCCGTTCAGTAGTTTCAGCGTTATTGACGGATAAACGTCCAGACAAAGAAACTTTCATATTTATATAATATTAGTGTGATAATTTGCGTAGATTTAAGCAAGACACAAAGTATCTTGTATTGTTTATTTGAGACGAGTTGAGTCAATTTTAGTATCTAGAGGTTACACTTCATTATTAAATAATTATATTTATTATGATTCGTCTCGATTAATTCAGAAGTAAAATGAATACGTAATTGAACCAATGACATTGATCATGTTGTGACTTACTGTATGTACTGCAGTCACAGCACTTAAACCAATAAAAATGTGTACTAAAACATTGACTTTCTACATCAATACTGAATCACTGAAACACATAATTGCAAAACGATTGCATCGAATTGTTGATTTAATTAGATATACCTAATTATTTCTCTATTGTGTAGACACAAACGCTGAGTCTTTATATTTTCAACTTTAATGCAAATTATGAAGGTTAAATTTATGTTCGCGTTTGTATATAATGATGAAAGAAAATAAATTAGGCCAGGAATTAAGCAAATAAATGAAGAAAATTACCTGAATCGAACGTCCAGCGTTGGCTGGGACAGCTGGTAGGGAGTAGTAGAGGTTCTCAACCCTCTTCCTGAAGACTTTGGAGCCGTATTCAACATTGTGATGATAGATCAATGGCCTCAGGACATTGGTACCCATAAACGTATGGGAACAATCCACAATGACCACGATAGCCAACAGAAAAGCAAGAGCGACAACCTTCATTTTGAAAATAGAATTGCACTATTTTTTTTCCTCGAAACGACTTTTCCCGCCAACGGTCGATAGACGAATGAGTTTGACAGTTAAAATGCCCGGCATATTGTAGCTGTGGCAGTTTTTTATCTGTGCCCGATAAACCAGGAGTCACAGTTTGTTTATTTTTGCTGGTGCGTGAATACCTATTTGCGTAATTAATGTTTGTACTTTCTGATGAGGTAGGGAGAAGTGTCCCAGTGTGTTTTCCCATCTCATATTTTGTATCATGCACGTTACGATGTACTCGTAGGGTGCATGAATTAAATTATGAAGTTGCATTTCTTTAAGACAGATACGTAGTTAAATTACAAGATTTTTTTATAATAATTTTCGTGAGACATACTAAATTAACTAAAAATCGCGGTTTACTTACGTGGTTATACTGAGAAAAGCTTTACTAGTTTCGTCTATTAGTTCAATAGGCTGCGCGACATCGCCGCGACCGCGCACGCTGCTCATGAGGAAAAACCCCTCTGTGGCTCGAAAGTAGTAGAGCTTTTCTCAGTATATTCACGTGAGTAACCCGCGATTTTTAGTTGATTTTTTTATAGCTCAACTTCTTTATTATTTTATTGTAGTACTGAAGGTATACCTATAAAACAATAACTAGGTACAATATTAAAATCCACGCTATTGCTAAGACTATCTTCTGAATATTTTTATTCTACCAAAACCTTAAACCTAACCTTAATGTTCGACAAAAATCTGCCCTAATCCCAATTACCAAAAGCAAATGCCGTCAAATAGCAAAACAGTTCAATACAATCATATTAAACTAAGCGCTTGTATAGGTACCTAATGGTAAAAAACTTATTTATAAAACGAAATCCGATGTCCTGTCGGTTTAGTTTAACCGAGGGCTTCAGTTCTGAGTCGCTGTGGCTGCGATTGGCTTCGAAATAACAAAATGGTAAAAAACAGACTTCACCTGATAGCGTGTGACAGACCGACAGACGCGGTGGTCGGTGAACGCAATTACACCGAAGCAAAAGACACTTTTTAAAGTCAAAATTGAATTGTCCGTCAGTGCGTAAGGTGTTCGTTCTAAAATGTAGATTCATGTGCACGAGCAAGAATATCCATAATCTATCTATATAAATAAAAATGAATTTCTGTTCGTTAGTCTCGCTAAAACTCGAGAACGACTGAACCGATTTGGTTAATTTTGGTCTTGAAATGTTCGTGGAAGTCCAGGGAAGGTTTAAAAGGTGAGAAAAATATTTTTTAGGCGGTACGAAGTTTGCCGGGTCAGCTAGTAATTAAAAAAAAAATGTCTCGCGCTACCTAAGTTGCATTTTTCACTAAGTATATAGTTCACGATCTGCATTCAACAAGAACGCATTATGTGCGCGAGCATCCTGTTTAAAGTTTATACAAATTATATAATAAATTAATGGAATCATACAAACATACTATACGCATAAAAACAGGTATTTGGTAATGTGTAATCGTTTCGATTAATTGGATTGCAGTATCTGAATGAAAAAATAATAAAAGACAAGTGAAATGTATGAACTTACCCCCTATAACATGGGACTCATAATATAAATAGTGAAAAGTGGGTATTACTACTGTGTGCACCTCTGCCCCCTTCGGGGATAAAAGGCGTGGTGGAATGCTTTTTTAACAATTTAATTGATTTAGTCGTTTGGACATCTTTGAGGGATTTCTTGATGCTTAACAAACGTTAATTTTAGTGTAGTTTTTAATTTTTTAAAATAAATGATACAAAATGTCTAACATTATGCTACCTTAAACAAATTTTTTAAGCATAAATATTGATATCGTAACGTATCTCCTTGTTGCGATCGCTCTTCAACCGAATGTTCACGAAGTTGTAACCAAGACCGCCTTTCGTCACGTTGGCTGATGCACCGGAGTTTGTCAGATCGTACGCTAGGATGCCCTGGAAAAAGCAAATTAAGTATTTTTTACTTTTACACAACACACCGGTACATCCCTACTATTACTAAGATTGATAAATCTAAAATAGTCCATTAACACTTTTCAATAGGCTCACCCCCTATTACACGTGACTTGTACATTGTACAGTGGCATTAAGTGCCGTAATGTGCACCTCTGCCTACCACTTTGGGGATAAAAACGCGTTGTTATGTAACACTTTTCCTGACCTTAAAATCAAACATTACATGCAGTTGCATTTCGGACCACACGACTAATCTAACTATGGTTAATCTTTAGACACCGATAATAGTGAATATATAGTAAGTAGTATGTTGTAATATATTATATGTCATGCTATCAATGGTAATAAAAATTAAACTATGTACCTGAATATTTCTAAGATAAATATCAGAAACATGTGGTAATGTGAAATTAACATTTTCAATCCTCTTCTGGAATCCCCTGGCTGGGTAACGAACCTCCTTATGGAACACCAGAGGTCTTTGGACACTAGTTCCCAAAAACGTATGCCCACACTCACTGACCACTATCATCGCCAGAACAAGAGCTACAGAGCTTATATGCATTTTTGTAAAAATGACAATTTTTGTTTGACAGAGTTGGTCTTCGCGTATGGCCGTCTTGAAGTGAACTGTTTGTATTATGCCCTGTTGTATAATAAACTGGTTCTGTATCACTAATGTCTGTAACTAGGGAATCCATTAATTCCTAATTGGGTATAGTTATCTGGGTCAAAATTAAATTATTTTGATTTTTCCGTCCAATTAAATATTCAATAATAGTTACACTTTCATTCATTGATTTGCCGATATACTTAATTTACGATTTATTCTAGTATTTTTTTTAGATATAAGTATGCTATTTGACGCGAAAATATGATGACGTCATAAGGTGGTATTTGGTACAAAACTCATAGAACCGTATCGTTTTTGACGTTTCGATAAAAGTATTGAATTTGACTAGTTGTCAACTACCGTATTGTTCTTCTTAACCGGGTTCCAATCGAAATATAATATGTGGTTTCATTTTTGAAGTAACTCCAAAATATTTTCTTAAAGACATAGGCACGGGATATTCTCTATCTCCAGTCGGTCAAAACAATTTTCCATAAACAGAACTTTCGATGCATGAGTAAAAAGAAAATATAAACATATTAATTTTTAAGGTTATTTATCGACTTACGCACATGAGACAATAGATGTAAAGTAAGCACTATTCGCATCGCACGTGCCACCCGCCGAGAAATACCACTTCGAGAATTACATGGCGTGATGTGTTCGTATCTATAGGTACCTACGCACTTTGAAACTTGGCAATGGTTAACCGGTTAATTTTTGTTTTAAGCATTTTATTTTTTTGCATAATTATTGTATTACTGAGACAGAACCGTTTTACTTTGGGACGAAACCGATATAAATTTCATTATGTTAAACTTTTTTAATACTCCTTTATCCAATTTTATGAAATGCATGCAACTAGATAATAATAGATATGAAGTAAGTAGGGTGTTCCTTGTCTATGGTCCACAGATAATATTAGATATTAAATATTCTATGATTTCAGTAAAATAATAAGTCTGTGGACCATGGACAAGATTTCACTTCATTTTAATTTTTTAGCTTTTTTTATTTTATTTTTATTTATTTTTTAAATATGTTATGTGTGTTTTGCGCAAAAATAAATGGTTTTTCTTTCTTTCTATGTATATTTCATTTTTAAAAATTAGTTTTCTTCTCGCATTTAAACATTATCATTCATACGGAACCGTTGAAACCTCCTACTCATGAACCTTATCTACCATTGTTAGTGTTAATGTAACAAACAATAAGAAACACATTAGTTTTCTTAATTACCGTGATATCTTTGAATACGGCCCTGTTTGATAAGAATCATATTTTTATTGTTAAAACCTTTACCCGGTTGACTCAAGATTCATTAGGGAAACATTGTGTGTTAGTTGTTAACTGGGCTAGTAGGATATGAGAAAATCCTTGACAGGTCAGTTAAGAGAACCTTTTTAAGGAGGATCATCATCGAGGCGAGAGGGAGTGTTAGACTCTCACTGACTAAAAACCACCCCGTTTCTAGTCTTGCCCTTTGAGACGGAGCACCGGCAACCCGAACTGGAAGTTAATCGTTTTGTGATCTATACTGGGGTTCATTGTCAACAGCTTGACAATGGACTTCTTCTACTTATTAGAAACAGCTGCTGCTCTCTTTAACTCGTTGAGTACCGTCATTATAGACACAATTAAAGAAGGATAGGTTGCGCTCACCGGTAACCGCGCGGTGTTTGACAGTTTAATAATATATGAGTAGTTCTTTAGTCGACTGTTACGACAGCCTCGAAGAGAATGTCACCATACTGCTGGGTAAAGGGAGGTAATGAGTTTTTTGTGTTCTTTTATGTGTTTTGTGCCTCTAATTAAAAATGACAACGACATTTATTTTATCGAAATTCTTGTCCTGATTATTGCAACCAAAATACGTTGGTTAAATCAACAAATACTAAGTTATAAATACGTTTGTATTTATGAACATGATCATTGCACATTTATTTAGAGAAAAAAATATACCTAAGTTAAATTACGGGCCTAAAAATGTATTATTTTCCATGCTTATTATTACGCTTCAGTGTAACAGTCAGCTTGTCGTTTTGTAGGATAAAACCTCGTGGAGTCGTTCGCCGGGAGGTATCAAAATATTTTGCCAAAAATAGATTTGTGGGCTTTGTACAATACAAGACTAAAGTTGACGTGATCGGTGACGTCATAATTTTAGATACCCCTGTGACATTTTGATATACAGTAAAATGGTTTTACGTTTATTCATATTATTATATTTGCGCGGTTTCACCCGCTCTGCTCGGCGCATATTGATTGAAGCGTTATGTTTTATAGCTTATAGTCTTCCTCGATAAATGAGCTATCCAATACAAAAAGAATTATTGTAATCGAACCAGTAGTTTCTGAGATTAACGCGTTCAAACAAACAAACAAACTTTTTATAATAATATAATAGTAAGTAATCAGTATATATAAGACTAGCTACTTCCACGCGGTTTCACTCGCTCTGCTTGGCGCTTACAAACCGTAGCGTGATGTTTTATAGCCTATAGCCATCTTCGATAAGTGTGCTATCAAACACAAAAAGAATTATTCAAATCAGACTTGTAGTTACGGAGATTAGCGCGTTCAAACAAACTAACAAAAAAAATCAAACTCTTCCGCTTTATATACCTAATAGTACCTATAAGATTTGGTTTGTAATGAAAATGTGACTTTTGTAGCCGAGGCTAATAATAAAATATTTAATATTATTATATTGGCTACCTTGTTGCTCCAGAGTTTGTTGAATTTTCAGTAAAGTCTACCAAAGGCTACCTACCATAGTCAGACACGTAGACAATCTTGTTAAAATACTCACTAATATTATCACAGTCTATTTTCTCGGAGAAAAACATA